TTTAGTCTCGGTTTTCCCAACCGGGACTAAAGGTCCACACCTTTAGTCCCGGGTCTGGGAACCGGGACTAAAGGTCACCCACGGAAGAAAAAAATAAAGAAAATCCTCAAGGCCTCGCTTGCTCTACGTGAGATTCGAACCCAACACCTCTCTCCTCACGCGTAGGTACATTACCAACTCAACTGCACACCACTTGTAACAGAGTCATGTATGCTCTCCTTTTGAATAGACTCATGGGAGACCTTTAGTCCCGGGTAAAAGACCTTTAGTCCCGGTTGAAGACACTAACCGGGACTAAAAGGTCACTAAAAGTTGGTGAACTTTTACTCCGGGTTGGTGACACCAATCGGGACTAAAGATGACTTTTAGTCCCAGTTGGTATTACGAACCGGGACTAAAATTCCTTTAGCCCCGAACGTAAAAAATATCGAGACTAAAGGCTAAAATCGAAGTGGGTGAAAGGTCTGTTTTCTAGTAGCACGCTGCCACATTTGAGACTGCCTAGTGGGTTGGGAATACCTATCATCTTCTCTCTCTAAAGGCACTACTACTGTAGACTTGACTTGGGCATGACCTCAAACATAAGCAAAATTGGTTCTTGTTGCAGGATTGCATCATTCCCAGTTAAAATTTCAAACATTACTGAAAGACAAACATCAATCATATTCAGACATACTCCCTCCGTCCCTTTTTATTTACGTTCTCATTTTCTGAGAAGTCAAATAAACTTAACTTTGACCAAATATATACAAGAAAATATGAACATTTACTGTACATAATTAGTATTATTAGATAGGTCGTTGAATCTACTTTGATAATAAATTTATTTGGAAATACAAATGTTGTCAATACTTTATAAAAGTCTAACCAAAGTTGAGAAAGTTTGCCATAGTGACAAATATAAAGGGAAAGAGGAGTATGATGATTATCTTTACAAAAACAGACCTCAAGCAACAAGTTCTGACGAATATAGATGCGGACTGCACCGTAAGATTCTGACTTTATAAACAGTTTGGGTGTACACTCCTGTACTGTTCCAAGGCTTGCCCACATGCATGATGTGATGTACTACGCTACTGTGAGACTATAACCGAAGAAATATTTTTTACTTATTATCAGCTGGAGAATTCATTATCTCTATAACTAAAATATTCACAAGAGAATTGTTGACAGCCGTGCGAAAAATCGCTCGCGTCTGCGCTTGCCCGGTGCGCCTTCGCTAGCTCACGCCTGCAGTGGACCCGGCGTCGTTCGAGCGATCACCGAGAGCTTCGCCCGTCATTCAATCACCGCAGCACCTGAGGAAAAGCAAATCACCTACGCCTGCCCTTCCTGCGCTCGCTCACGTCGCCGCCTCGCAACAGCGCGGTGCGGTGCAGCCCCTCGATCCATCTCCCCACCGGGCGAGTTTTTTTTTCACCCATGCGGTTTTCTCCACCTTGTGTGGCTGCAGCCGGTGGTGGGCGCGCGTGTGGCGGCTGGGGATCTGCGTGTGTGCGCTGGTGCTAGACGAGGAGGGCGACAAGAGGCTCTTGGTCTGTGGCGGTGCGACCGCGGCCAACGCCGGGACGCTGCTCCTGTGTAAGGCAACCATTGCGGTCGCCGCATCATTGGCGTCGACGTCTGCAAGCGTGGGAGCGGGACTTCTGGTGCTGGATTCCTCCACCGCCCGTCGTTTCTCACTCCCCCGAATCCCCGATTCGTCTGTGTGGAATACCGAGGCACATGTCCGCTGCCCTACGCCGACGCCGCCGGGACCCAGAGGCAAGTAGCCACGCTAGTCCGGCATGGCCGCCTGACGCCGCCAGGCTTCCCAAGGTAAAACTTTCTCCTGCATAGATCTGCGATTTGTTTTAATGTTTGTACTGATGAGGTGATTGTGGATGGACTGATGTTGTAGGATTGCAAATGAAAGGATTATTGAAATTATTTATATGAACTTGTTGTGGATTCAACTGAACCCACATGCTACACACCAAGTCCGCCCCTGATCTAGGAGCTGGACTTTATGTATGATGGGAGGTGAAATTCTTTGGAAAACCGTTCTTTTGATTTGTGGGCTCGTGAATGGAATCCAGTGGCGGTGATAAGCCCACTGCAACAGATGCTACCGAGTCTATGTTGGATAAGGACCACTTTGAGCGTTCTTGTTACTTCTGCTGGAATCAAAGTGATTAGGCAGCCTCATGGTGTCTCAAGAATATCAGCACTGAGAGTTGGAGTGGAGTCTGAGCCCATCAGCTCATGGTTGGCTCGATCAAACCAAACAAGCTGGACTTCTGGTGCTGGATTAATCTATAAAAAGCCTCCGTTGCCGCCTCTAAACTTTTGGTGCTCCACCTCCCTAGACTTCATGGGTGGTCTCGTCCAAGAGGCCGTCACAACGCTGCTGGCATCGCTTTCCAAGCACAGGTGACATATTCAATTGTTTTTGTTTTCATTTGAATGGTGAGATTTGGATGGCTGACAGTATGTTACAGGAAGGAATGATCCTGGTTTCTCTACACCTCCAAGTTGTATGCTAAAATGCCAGTAAAGTGAATTTGTATGAGAAATAATATGACGTTTCTTTCTATTCTAGCTAATAATATTGAATGGCGATTAGTGCATCTGGTTGTTCTATATGTTTAATTCAAGACATAAAATGTAGAGATCTATAACTTGTTTGAGGTTGTCTTTGATAACTGTTAGAACATCTCCATCTACATGCTTCAGTTCCATCTGCATGCTTCTTTTTTCCCTCGGAATATGCACGAGCTATGTATCTTTGTAGCTCTGTAGTGGCATCCATCGATTGAGAAATTAATGCCCACTGATTTCTTATTTTTAGATATAGGGTTTTTTGTTACTTTAAAATCTGGCTATTTTCATGATTTCCAGTACAATTGTTTTTCATACCATGAAGAAATGAACTTCTTAATTCGTCATATTCTGCATGTTCTACATCTTCGAAGCAGTCAGTTTCCTATTATTTGCATCCTATATGAACCATCTTTATTTTACACTGTAGCGCTCTCTCTCTCTCTAGCTATTTCATATTAGCAAAAAGAAGTTGCAACAATGATTAGCTCTCCAAAAATTATTGTCCTGCCTAAGCGCAACATCTCTCTTCAATTTGAGGAGGTAATACTCCTTTTGAAGAGATATCTAAATGTGATTTTTGATATGAAAAAGTTGCAATGGAATGAGTAGGTATTTTTGTGATGACACATTTAGTTTTCAAGGGTCAAGACATTTAGCAGGCTAATATCTTTCTACAAACAACTTTTCACTATATCCTAGGATAGTCACTTGTGCACATGAGCACTATGTGTTAGCTCCCCACAAAAAAATTGTGTTATAAGCTCTTTATATATCTAGCTGTCATTATTCTGCAAATATATTTTAAGTTACAACTAACACAGAACATAGTTTCCTGATACTATAATGTCTGCCCGTTGGTGGCTTTGTGTTGCAAACCAATATATATTTTGTTGAATAATGAACATATTGTTTGATCATCAAACTTAATGCATTCTTTTTATTAGTAAAAATACCAACACTGGTGAATGTGAAGTTTCACGGAAACAGGAAAACAGAAGTGATAACATGAACTAACATGTGATGGTTGCACTGTCAGGTATCAAGATCAATTGTTGACTTTTATTTGAAGAAACTGGAGTATAGCTTGGACCCCCTTGTTTCGGCAAGTTGGCCCCCCTATTGCAGTGAAGAGGCCAGTTTTCAGTGCTGAACCATCTATTCAAGTTCACAAGCTGAAGCCAGATGATCTACTTCTGACATTTGCTTCAGACTATCTTTGGGAGCATTTCTTGTTTCTTTCCTGTCGAATCCTATTCTTAATTAGCATTGATCCCGTTCATGGGAGCCGGGTTAATTTAAGAAATCTACCATTCTATACTGCAGCATCGTGAAATAGTTGATTATGGACAAAATGTTAGTCGAGACCAGAGACCATATGTTCTGGCTACAAACATAATAGATTGAACCCTGAGATTATATACTCTTTTGGAACAGATAAGAGCTTATTTCATAGTATAATAACATTACTTTTTCACGATTCAATTATTGCGATTTTCAGTTTACTGGCATGGAGGATATGCCTTTTTGCCTTTTCTGGACATTCTAGTGATGTTCCGAATCTGTACATCCAGCTATCTACCATGTGCCCCTCCATACTGAAATGTCTATCTTATCCATGTCAAGGGAGTGACATTTCTCTCCCCATAATGCCCCATCTTGTTTTTCATGTCAAAGTGACAACTTCTCATCTCTCAATGATGTCAGGTTTAATGCAAAGGAATGGATATATATGTTCTCGAAAAATAAGATGATCACCCTTGACCAAATGTAATAGTATTTCATTATTTCATTTTTCTCATGTATGTGATGGACAGCAGGCTGGATGTTGTAAAATATATATGGTTGTCGTGGAGATCATTAACAACAGAAACTTATTTGTCCCATGAGAAAGAAAGAGCTGATTGTGTTTTTAATTCATGTTGGTAAATTTTAAATGATGCTTGTGTATCTTTTTTTAATCATGTGGTAATACATGGGCAATTAACTATTTTTTAAATCCCGTAGCATCGCTATGAGGAGAAGCTCGTGCGGGACAGGTAAAATATGGATTTTTTTCAGCTCCTTGTGTTTAGAGGTTACAATCATAAAGAATTGTACTACATGTGGCACCATTGTTTTTGCAATATATAGGTTTACAGTTGACGGACGATACCGTCAAGGATGACACTTTAACGTCGGTATTTATTTTCACAGTATTGTTATCTTATCGTACGATCCGTGTATTTTTAACACAAAAGTTCAGCTGTTCCATAGCAACGCACGGGCACGAACCTAGTAATTAATAAACAAGAACAGACATGTCGCTGTATACTGTATACATCTCAATTATTCCACGGGATTTAATATTAGCAAAAGCAGTTGTTTCCTTTTTCCTTTGGGGGGTGGGAGGGGGATGCAATTGTTGATGGCCAAGCTAGTTAGTGCTTCGTCACGTCTGGAATGTCCACCGGGTACCTGTGGATGGACGTGGCCCAGGGTCCCTCCGCGTTGGCGGCGGGCGCGATGCACTCCCACGCCGCGCTGTTGCACTTGAACCCGGACCCAAACCCAATCATCCACACTCGGTCACCCCTCCGCATACGCCCCTTGGCCTCGATGTAGGCTAGCTCGTACCACAGCGAGCTGCTCGACGTGTTCCCGAACCGGTGCAGCGCCATCCTCGACGCCTCTACCTGCTCGTCCGACAGCCTGAGGCTGCGCTGCAGCTCGTCGATGACGGCGCGGCCGCCCGCGTGGATGCAGAAGTGCTCGAAGGCCGTGCGGAAGTCGGGGATGTACGGCTTCAACTTGCCGCTGAGCACCTTCTGCGCGATGAAGGAGAGCGCGAACAGGAGCTGCTCCGAGGCCGGGAGGACGAGGGGTCCCATGGTGGTGATGTTGGCCTTGAGCGCGTTCCCAGCGATGGTCATCAGGTCCTTGTTCAGGTTGATCCCGACGTTGCCGTTGTCGTCCTCTTGCTGGAACACGCACGTGTACGCGCTGTCCTGCGCGCCGGTGAGGGTGCGCACGACGTGCTTTAGGCGGAACCTTGCTTTGGCAGGGGAGTTTGACAGCAACGCCGTGGCGCCGCCTATGCGGAACAGGCAGTTGGGAAGGAGCATAGCGCGCTCGCTGCCGAAGTAGTAGTTGGGCGTGATGGTCTCCGTCGAGACAACCAGCGCGTGCGTGCCTTTCGGAGCGACCTGGAGGAGGTTCCTGGCAAGCCCCACGGAGATGAGCCCGGCGCTGCACCCCATGCCGGAGAGGTGCACGCTGCGGACATCGCTGCGCAGCTTGTACCTGTTGATGATCATGTCGACGAAGGACGGCGTGGGGCAGAAGAGGCTGCAGTTGACGACGACGATGTCGATGGCTCCAGGGCTGATGCCCGTCTTGGCGAACAGGTCGTCGAGCGCCGAGAAGACGACGAGGTCGACCTCGCCTCGCGCCGCGTCGAGGGTGCAGTAGTTGTAGGGCGGGATGTAGTGGTGAGCGGGAGGCAGGCACGTCTCCTCCCCGAGCCCCGAGCGCTCCAGCAGCTTGGTCATGAACCGGATGCTGCGCTCGTTGAGCACGGGCACCTGCTTGGCGTGCTCCAGGAAGGAGGAGAAGGGCATGCGGCAGTTGGACGCCGTGCGGAAGCAGGCGTAGTCCACCAGGTACACCGCGCGCGGGCGCAGCATGAGGTACACTGTGGCAGCCGCGGCCGGGACGAACGTGGCCAAGATGAGGTGCACGGGCCGCGCCTCGCGGAGCCGGCCAGCTAGTTGTTCCTCTGGCCCGAACCGCGCCACGGCGACCAGCGCGGCGACCATGAGCGGCACCGTCACGACGGCGAGGATGTTGTCCACGACGCGGCGGCGCACGGCCTTGAGGCCCTTGTCGAACAGAGGTGGCGAGCTCATGCTCATGATGCCCCGTTTTCTTCTCTTTTTGTGCGATGCACAGGCACTCTAGTGGGTGTGCGGTGTGATTGTGCCTGCGTGTGGTGTGGATTCCGGCAGGGAGCACAGGGTGAGGTTGTTTTAAAGCCGTGGCGGCGCAGGAGCAGGACAGTCTCTTTCCTTGACTCACACGCGAGCAGGCTAGCTCACACTCATAGTTGCCACCTCACTACTCTACTTGTTGATAGATAAAGCTGGTGCGAGGCAGGCTATTATTAGAAAGGATTTCAGTTAAGAAATAACTGATTCTGGTTCGCCGACAAGTTCGCCGAGCGTTCTTTTTTAGTTTATTTTATTTTCCATTTGTATACGCGGGGCAGTTCTTTTTTTCCTTTTTCTATCTAGATAATAAAGAGGGGAAATTAAAAGTTGGTTGTGAACTGTGATCACTGCCGGCGACCCAGTTCAGGCAAGCATGGCGACCAGGCCAACCGTTACGGCCTACAGAGCATGTACGGCACCTCTAATCACAGTGTGCAGTGACTATTCACGTTTAGTCCGGATCACGGCATTAGTGCTTTGCCACGACAGAATAGTACGCATGCCACCACGGAACATACTTCTTCATCTCAAATTATAAGTCATTTTAAGAATTTTGGAAAGTCAAAGTGACTTAAGTTTAACCAAAATTATAGAGAGAATTATAAAAATTTATAAGATCAAATAGATATATTATGAAAATATAATTAATAAAAAACATAATGATACTTAGTTGATATCATAAATATTATTATTTTATCATATAAATTTGGTCAAACTTGACATGTTTTGACTCTCCAAAATTTTTAAAATGACTTTTAATTTGAGATGGAGAGAGTACGCACGCAACTAATGCCCAGAAGAAGAGTGAGGGAACGAAGATGAAGCTCGATCACATGCATGGCTACCGCTTTTACGGACACACTGACACTGCACGGGACTAGGGTAACCACGACGTCTGGTCAATCCGCCTGCATTGTTAAGGCAGTAGTACTGGCCAGTGGCTACTGGGTAGTGGGTACTGCTGCCACGGTTTTTCCATCGCGACCATACATTCCTGCTGCGGATTGAGCAAAGAGCGAAAGGAGGAATTCGGTGGCAAGTAGTTGAATTGTTTTGTTCATCAATGACACTGCACCCTTGGTGGCCTGCCCGCATGCCTCGGCTCTGCGGCAGGCTACGAGGGAGCATTGGGTGTTTGCCGTCAGAGCAGGAATTGGCCAAGGCTGATCCAGATTGGATGATGATGTTGATACACAATAATTTTGTGCCTTCATGGGACATATTTACATGCTGAGGGATTTATTGATGAGACAAGCATTGATGTTCTAGCAGTTTGCATTGGAAATGTTCATGGAAAATATCCACCTAGTGGATCAAACATCATATTTGAGTTTCAGTACAATCGTAGAAAAAGATAAGTTATGATAGAGCTGTGCATGAAAAATATATGTTTTGGTCGAATTTGAATTATAAATTTGAATTTTTTTGCGAAAAAATATACTGTAGAGGTGGTTCTAGACTGAACCACCCCAACAAACAAATATTATAAGGGCGGCTAGTACTACAGCCGTCCCTACAAATCGATTTTGTAGAGGCAGCTGGTGTTACCAGACGCCCCTACAAATCAATTTGTAGGGCGACTGATAACACCAGCCGCCTCTACAAATCGATTTATAGGGACGGTTTGAAAAAATGCCCCTACAAATATATGATTTGTAAAGACGCTTGGGTAGGGGCGGCTGGGCAAACCGCCCCTACAAAGCCTCTAGAGCCGCCCCTACTAATACTATATGGCGTAGTGATCATTAGGGGGGAAAAATAAAGATTGGTACCTCTAAAATGCGGTATAATAGAGGTCGCAATTTTTATATTGGTTACTGCATACACCTCTGGGCCCTACTACTTATATGGTCCCGTTCGGCTTACTCCATATCCGGCTTGTTCAGCTTCTTTTTTCAGACGAAACAGTGTTTTTCTCGCATGACATTTCAGCTAGAACAGTGTTTTTCAGCCAATTTTAGCTAAGATTCAGCAAGCCGAACGTGGCCAAATCTGGCAGTAGTTTCTTACTTAAAAACAATGACACGGATTGATGGCCATGCACAACCGCTAACTTCTTGTGCTGACCTAATAAAATTCTAGGGTTTAGGCCATTTTCAACTCAGAGAAACAAGAACCAATGGACACTATTACCTGAAGTCAATGGCGCTATGGTAGCCTGGTACCGGTAGGCAGCTAATTGTCTGCTCCATTTGACGGGAAAGTAGAGTAATCAACTTAGGCCTTGGATGCGTATATATTTATTTTAATCTACATGTGTTGAAGTGGATTGAAGTGGAATTAAACTAAATTCATTTTAATTTACTTCAACACATATAAATTAAAGTAGATACACATATATCAAACAAAGCCTTACTTGGGTAATTGATCCATCAAAGCCTTGGACTTGAGAGCATACCTCTTGATGGAAGCGAAAGTAACGTACTGATGATTCAGCACATCTTCCGGGTCGCTCATCTTTGATCAATGCAGGACCCAGGAGCGCAGTACCATCAACCTGATTGGTCTTCGAACATACTCCGTGCGTCACTAAATAACTGTCGTTTTTGTTCCGTGCTATAAGTTTAACTAGATCCGTAGTAATTTTTTGCAATATTTATATCTCTAAATAAATTTATTATAAAAATAGATTCAACGATTTATCCAATGATATTAATTATGTACCATAAATATTAATATTTTTTATATAAAATTAGTCAAAGTTATTCCTCGAAAAACGAGAATGACATGTATTTAGGAATGGAGGGAGTATACAAATGAAGAAGTGCGCCGTGGAGATGGTGTCAATGGCATCTAACAACGCGATACTCCTGGTATGTAATCTCAAGGAAAAATCAGCTTACAAATATTTATATACTCGACTTACTCCCCCATTGAAAATTATAAGACATTTTGATTTAACTTTTCTAGATACATTATTTTTTCAACATATCTAGACAGATTGTATATCCAAATGTATAGCGAAAGCTATGTATAAAAAGTCAAAACAACGTTTTATAATTTAGAATGGAGGAATTATAATGTACCATAGAGCGCAATGCATCATTCAGCTTGTTTAAGTAGTAACAAAAAAATAAAAGAAACTATCTATATGCCAACAAAAGGCTATTTTATAGGCGGTTATTAGGTCAGGGTCTATTAATATTGGTTGAAATTAATTGTTAGCCATAAAGCTTAGTTACCCAACTATTAGATACTCCATTTGTTGCAATTTATAGGTCATTTTTATATTTCTAGATACATAATTTTTATTATATATAGACATATCGTATATCTATAGTGGTAGAGAATCGACTTGCAGTCACGGTTAGTGTAGCACCTGATTTTAAGAACAAAACCAGATACACACCATATGTGAGTCTAGGAAGTCAAATCTCATATATAGCTACAAATAAGGATAATATCAATAGACAATGCTCAAAATATAACGTACTTAGTATAAAGAATATAACCTTAGATAGCAAACAGCGGAAAGACAACTCCGATCTTCGGGTGAAGACTCTAATTCCACAGGGACAACTGACTGGTTGATCACAAGCCCAATTCCTCCAAACTCTAGCAATCTAATACCCATCTGGGATTTTTATCCAAATAATTGAAAGATAAAGCAAGCATAAGTACATATCGTACTCAACAAATATAACATAGGGTTCATGAGGCTCAAAAGGCTGACATTGGTTTAACTGTAACTAGTTTTTAATGAGTCATCTTTTAGCAATTAGGTGGCAACAAGTTTATTCATAAGCCCATATAAACACATGATCAGGTAAACATGAATAATGAATAGCATAAACAGTAATCATTAGTGAACATCTTCATCATCCGTATCATCAGTGTTCATCATCTATTCCGTAAGGGTTCCAAGGCCGCTCGTGACTGTGAGCACGGCTGATATACCAGTTTTTACACTCTGTAGAGGTTGTACACTTTCACTGTGAGTCGTGATTTATCCTTTTGCCCGAGGTAGCTAATCTCTTAACCCACATCCAAGGAAGGTCGGTAGGGTTCATTATGAAGCCTTTCAAAGGTTCGTCTAACAAGTTAGAGCCATTAGATTCACTCGACAAACAGATGTAGAGCCCCCCTTCCCGATGGCACAATGACGCGCAGCCTATATACAAGGGGGACAGAGGCTGCACTATACCCAATTCGTCAAGCCATTCTTACGCCAATAAAGGTAACCACTAACAAGCTAGAAAAGATCCTCATAGTGAGGTAAAGCTAGAGCCATGTAGCCCTCACAGATGTACTATAAGTTCCGGATGTTTGCTTACAGATAAGTCCTTAGGGAGAGAAATCTAGAGCACCATAAAATAGCCCAATGCTCTAGCCCCTTGGTTCCATGTTACTAAAAACATCTTTTAATGTTTATTACATATTTCATTAGTCAAGTTACAAGAACATGGCTTTGGTTTGAGCACTAGCATCCTACTACCCAATGCAATAACCGATAGGTGACAAGGAATCCAAGATATCAAATAGCTAGGGAAATTTACTACGGTTACCAAGGTAAACACATGCATATAATTAAAGTGATATTAAGGTGAATACGACAACAAGGAAGATCACATGCTATACTTTCCTTAAACTCAGATCCTTCTTCTATTGAATTGTAACCTCCAAAAGACTTTTTCTAGATCACCAACTTCTTCTATTTCACCAACGTACTTCTCACCGACTCGGATATGATCATAAAGCACCACACAAGCATCCATGCAATCATACACGAAGCAAATAATAGAACTAAATTAGAACAGTACACCATATATATGAAACAACAAGTGAAAAGGTTTTAAAGATGTTCTACACGTTGTCATGAACACACAGACGCGAAAAGCACTCTAATCGGAGCTATAACAGAAAAGTTATAAATTAAATAAGATTTCCTTTAATAAAATAATGGATTAAATCTAACCTTGAATTTC